TATGATGAGCCATCACAGTTACTCCAGGCATTGTGGATAGACGCTGGATTTTATTTTATTTGATTTTACCATCATTTCCCCAAAGCAAAGTATGTTTATTTTTTTCTTGAAAACATGGCTAAATTTAAACAGCCACTAATACAAGTATGATGTCCAGCATAAATCATCGGTATATATCAGTAAAGACCAGCATAAATCATTATAAAACAAAACCAGAGTGATGCAGAGAATTATTACTTTGTATCCATTTTCAAATGAACAGCTTCTTAATTCCGTCAATGACAAGTCAATACTGACCTCCAGTGGTACACTTTGATGCAATAACAATTAATACGCAAAATATAATTACTTGTTGATTGTTATACGAGTTATACAAAATATTAACAAGTCATTATTTGACTAAAATAATTTTTTAGGGTTTAGTGTTTGCACTGATAAGTAAACAACGCCCAAGATTAGTAGAATCCAGTCATGTGTCTCATGAACAAAGACCCATGGTTAAACCGATAAGATTACAGACTAACCAAGTATATTTACATAAAATTAAAATAAATATTTTCTTTTGGTGGTCTATGTTTTTTATTATTATTTAAAAAATATTTTCACTTACAGCAAGTCATAAATAAAATTAAAATCCACATTAGCAGATTTTACGAGTTTAATGAAAGAAAACCCCGTCTCAGACTCGGAGCGAAAGAAACGGCTCCAGTGTTTACATTTTACGGGTCCCCTGCCGCAAACGCGGACATGAATCAATTTTTCCAACTGGGAACCACATCAGCAAATACAAAGGGCTTACTGAAAGCATACAGGACGCATTAATAAAGAAAGACCTGATTTTGCAGGTCTAAAGCCACAGCACCCCACACCTTAGGTCTGCCTGGTAAAACGAGTTACCCTGCATATTTGGCCACCGGGCTAGCAGAGCGCCCTCTGCTGGGCACTGAGCCCGAAGAGCCACACCCTGCACGGCGCCGCACCTGACACAGGATGCTGCTAAGCAGGGGGCCAGATCCCCGACGCACAAGGGCCCCTTAAAGGCACACAAGCGGGACAGGAAAAGAAAACGAAACCTATTTATGTCGAGGGCGATAAGACACGCAAGATATTATTATTATTATCATTATTATTATTAGTAGTAGTAATATTAAAAATAATATAAATGTACCTATTTATCAAATGCCATCATACAAAAGAGTGGCAGATACCTACAAAAAAGTGCTATATCCAGAAGAACACATTACTAAAACTTAAAATATACCACACTTACAGTGTCCTTTAACTAACTGTAATAATACGTTTGACTGTGTGCTTTTATGCCAAATAAAATATTAACAAAAGGCATTAGATGTATCCAGCCAGAGAATATTTGGTTGCGCTACATAACAACGAGCAAGCAAACGCGACTGCTTTCTAAAGCAGCTTCGTATTTTAATGCAGTCGGATGTCCGCATTAGTCCCGTTTAGCTTGTTCGTGTAACAGAAATGGCAAAATAGTAAAGCTTCTCCTATTTATTTAACAGATCATACAACACAGCTTTCTATGAAAAACGTTTGACTCTACACCTACATAACTACATAACACCTACATAACTCTCAAAAGAAATGTTTAATTTGAAAAACTTTTTCAAACACAACTCAAATATAAAAACTGACAAGCATGCCATCTAAACGACGCTTAGTCTTAACTATCTCATTACAATCTTATGAAAACACTTCTCCCCCAGCTACTATATCTATTACGATCACTTAGCCAGTTCATCTCCAATTACAAGGCGGGTGACTTTACATGCCAAAAATCAGAGGAGAATACGACTTGAAAACGGCAATAAACCGACATCTGTTTACTTTCACACTGAAAACTTTGGAAGTTTTCAGGTAGATTTTAGTTAGGCAACCAGACTAGCAGCGGCTAAGGATGGGTGGGAACAAGTCTGCTATCGCAAGTATCTTAACTAACACCGCGAGTGCCTGTTTCTTTCACAGAAAGAAAAAACCGTATACATAAGTAGAAAAAAGTTATGTTATTTCATACTGTGCCAGGACACACACAGAGGTATACATCGACCATTGTCTAGTTACTCAATCATTGGACTTACAGTAATAAGCAACAACCGGGTCTCTTTTGTCATGTTCCTGTGCCGTTCGAAGATGATGTTGAATGGCTTTTAACTGTGGTGGTAGAGCCATAATGAAGTAGGCGAGTTACTTTTATAGCAAACTGTCATAAAACAGAATTTTCACTCAGTCATCGATGCTGACAAAAAAAAGCAAAACAAACGACCGTCCTATTCTTCCGCTTCCTGGATTGCCTGGCCTCGCATTTTGAAACACTGCCCCCTATCGGCCAGGAGAACTAACTGGAACAAAACCAAAGACTGACTAAGACGTACAATTGCTTAAATTTATCTGCAAGCAGTGAAGAGTATTGCATTTAAGTTTGTGCAAAAAAGTACCTTAATCAGATTAATTCTTACATGTACAACTACAGCTATTAAAATCTCTCAGATCGATTTAAGAAATTTCGGAACAGCTCTGTCAGGTCATTTAATCAAAATTTCAGCTTGAGGAAAAGACCAGAAACCCTGGCGCCACAGGATCAGTTTTCAATCCCCTGCAATTTACTGAGCAAGTGCATCAAAAACCAATTTACTATAATCCTGAGAGTGTCTTCAGTTAACTCACCTTCTTGGATTAAGAGCCTCAACCAAAATCTAAAGATCGCATCGCAGAGGCATTGAACTGTGGTTAGAGTTCATATGTGTGTTAACCTTGTTTTAAAAGCTTCTCACGTCCTTTGTAGATGTTTTGTAGTTAGAATTTGAAGAAAGCCTCCACTTTCATGTTTCTCATTCTGTGGCACAATGGTCTTTATCAGCTTCCAATTTAAGATCCTCTACATTATGGCAAGTTAGAGCTCATACACTTAAAAGCCTCCATCTAAAATGTTGAATTAGCTGTTCTGCACTCTGTGGAAATTCTGTGGACTCTATAAAGATTCTGATTCCGAAATGGGATCACGCTTAACCTTTACCTGAAATTTTGTTCCATCGTTGTGCTGGTACTGTTACATTGGCTTGATAAAGCAAAGTAAAAATTTTACCGCCTAAAACGTCCAGCACATTTGTTTAAGTAATCAACACTGCTTAGTCCATCTTCTTCTTTCAGAATCTGTTAAAATAAACAAGAGCATCCCTGCGAATATGCTGCATTAAAGCACATCATTGACAACTTGCAATTAATTACACATATAAGAACAGATACGTTTTCTGTCTTTACTATGAAAAATTTAAGAAGTAATGGCACTGGGTTACATTTTACAAATTCCTTCTCCACTCCTGAGTATGTGGAAAAGTGCAATGAATAACAGATAATTTTAGACGTGAAAAATGGATTACTGAATATTTTTACTGCCAGCATAACACCAGGTTATCTACTGCCTTGAATAACCCTCTCCTCCGCATACAGGAAAGTTACTCGGAGTTAGTACATAAATCATTTGAACAACTTTTCTTACTTTTTTGGACAAAAGAGTACATTCAGCAGCTAGCGATTATTTGTACCTAGACAACATTATAAGTGATAATATAGTGGATACGCTTACGAGCAGAAACATGTTTATTTCTTTGGTACTCCTTCTGTAGCCAGAATAATAGGATGAAATAAGTCCAGAAACAGGCTAAGGTGACTTGGACTTGCCAAATTGCCTATAGGTGTGCATGTGTGAGTGAATGATGTGTGAGTGTGAGTGAATGGTGTGTGAGTGTGAGTGAATGTTGTGTGAGTGTGCCCTACGTTGGATTGGCGCCCCATCCTGGGTTATTCCCTGCCTTGCACCCATAGCTTCCAGGATAGGCTCTGGACCCCTCACAACCCTGACTAGGACCGGCAGGTAAAGAAAACTGATGAATGGACATTAGAGTGTCCCTATAACATACATGTGCTTATGAATCCCTACATATTTTCAAGATTAGTAAAATATCATTATTTTCCCCATCTGAGAAAAATACATGCTTGAGTGATTCACATACTCATAATTTTAATTAGATTCAGTAATTTTTACATTACTACTGAAAATAAACATCCCATCGTTACTAGGCAGCGTTCTCATAATTATAATCAAATTCTTGTTTCATCTCATTATCAGAAATCTTATAATGCAGGAGCCTAATGAAACCTTTTAGAAGCAAGACACTATCCTGATTCCACAAATCGAAAGACATAAATCATCACTTCCTTGTTGTCAGAGCAATTAGACAGCTGCTGTAAATTATTCTCTGTTCTCCAGCGATCAGAATTAAATTAATGTTCCGAGGTCGTTCGTTTTTAGTAAGGTGAGAATTTCCCATCAGCCAAACAACTAACAATCCGCCAAAGAATTGGATAAAGCTAACCGCTACCAACCATAAAAAAACGTCACCAAAGTCATAATTCAGCTTCGAAAGTCAACGCAACACTGATGGACTGGTTAATATATCAGGTGTGAAGGACAGTATCTGATCTACTCTGTTACGTGTGAACAATTTTAACAGTTCCCTTGCATCCTTTCACATTGCATATCCCTTACATATTCACATCCTTAGGTTCAGCTAATCATTTCGACCAGGGACGTGCAGAGACTTTTTGAGGGGCAAGTAACTGAAAGGGCATCCACTACCTTCAAAGCTCAGGCACAAGTTCACATTAAATAGTTCAGGCAAAATGAGCAGGTCCCTGATTTATACCTTCTTCAAAGTGTAGTCATGATCTAGGGATGTCAAAAGTCTACCGAGATCGAGTTATATCATGATTTTTATTTTTTTTTATTTTTACTTCTATTGGATACAGATTTTCTGTTATTAATCAGATTTTTTTGTTATTAATCAAGATGATGGTGGCTTTACATACATTCACAAAGAATTGTACAACATTGGTAATAAATATTTTAATTAATAATTTCAGGCATCAAATATACAGGAGATCTAAAAAGTAGAAGCCCTACTCTGATCACGGGGGTGGAGCTGAAGTTGGAAAGAACAACTGAGAAACAACCTGAACATCAAAATCTGTACAGCGCAGCCAGGAAATCCTAAATGCCTTTGTTGTGTAGCAACTGAGGATACACTCCCTGATATTTTAAAGCAAAATATTAAGGTTAACCAGGGGGTTGTTCTGTTCAAAGCATGTCATCCTATACCTGAGATGATACATGGAGCTGAAAATATGATCAGAAACATGGATAGATATCTGAATCTATTTATACATATATGAGAGGTATATTTTATCTTTTATCATATCGACCACTTACACGATAATTAAATCAGATGCACCATCATGTACAGGGGAAAGAGAGCAAAATTGTTTAATTTCTAGGGATTCACACACAAACTGTGACACTCTCCTTTTATGGTTTTTACATTACAAGCCAAGTCCACCTTCTAACACTTATCCAGGACAAGCTGGAGTACAAACAAGGCAGCATAGAGCACAGGGCAGGGGCCCAACCAGGATGAGATGCCAGTCCGGGGCGTGCATGCACACTCACACACAAAATCACACTCCGCGGGCCATTCAGACTGGCCAGTTAGTCCAGCTGCATGCGTTTGAACTAGGGGTAGAACTCCCACCTGACATGGGGAATAAAAGCAAACTCCACACACTTAGAGCACAGGTTTATAAAAATCTGCATGTGCTAAAATACTTAATCTGTTGAAGGATACATTTCAGTTCACATCTGTAAGACAAACAGCTTAGAATATAATTTTAAAATCATAGTAAAATTAGTTTAAAATATGATCTGTATAACTATCCTAAGTATTTTAAATAACAAGAGGTATGTTTGTCTAAGACCTTTCCATGTCAACATTTAGCCAAGACACAGAAAATCTTTTTTTTTTCTTTTTTTTACCTAAAACTTACACTAGAATGACATGCAGGTCACTGACTGGGCTGCAACCCTAATAATCTTCTGCACAGTATCTCAAAAATCTCAGCAACGCACAGCCCCACCGTGATGATGGTGAAGACGTACATGGCGCTGAGGAAGATGGTCTTCTCGATGTGCTCCGGCACCATGCACTTGATCATGCCGAACTTCTTCTCCAAGGTGCTGGCCTCGCACCTGAAGAGGGGATGAACCTGGAACCCAAACAGGTGGCTCTGAAGCCAAAAGGCCACAAACTCCAGAAGCACCCTCAGCACAACAGAGATGATGTAGAAAATGGTATAAACAGGTCGCCGGAGGATTTCTTCCTGATCAAAGTTCTTGCAGGCAGCGTACAGGTGGAACACAGCTCCTGGAAGAAGTACAGTTACCATCTGCAATGCCCAGAAGACCTGCAACGAGAAGCATGTCATGCTTATGTCAACATAAGCCCACAACATGTAAATATTAATATTCAAGCTGCAGGGCAGGAATGTCCAATTCCAATCTTGGGGGGCCAGTTTGCAGCACAGTTTGCAGATTTTGCTACTCAGACGCACCGACTAAACCTGGTAATTAGCTGATTAAGCTGCAGCTGAGCAGGGAGATCTGCAAACTGTGTTGGATTCTGATCCTCCGGGACCAGAATTAGTGAACCCTGCTTAACAAAGAAGGATTTAAATTGCATGCAAGTAAACCTGTCGCTCATGCTATGCGTCATTCTATTACTTTTATTCTAATAAGTCTACAAAGTCCACAAATTCAGAATTCACCTCTTTTGGGAGCAGATGAGTAAATGGTAGAAATTACTGTGTTAGTAGTAATTGTACTACTGTTCATACTACCTCAGCCACTATTCAGTGCTCTGTCTCAAAGCAGACCTCACCAGGGTTAGAATTACAACCCCTTCCCATTCGAGGAAGCCCTATTTTCCAGTGTGCACCACGACCTCCCAAGTCACACGCACTGCATACATATAAGCGCGGCAGTGCGGTCAATAACAGGGGCACTGAGACACACATTGTACTACTCCTACTGCAGGCAGTTAATACCGTCAGTAACATTTCATGGAGGCACAATAACAACATAAGAATCAAGAAAGAAGTTTAATGGAATGGAATGAGCGAATAAAGACGCAACATGGACATATTTATATAAAAAAAAAAATCAGGAACTTTAATGTACAGAAAATAAAATATAAAATATAACCTATAACCTATAACACAAAAGTGGACGACTTTTTAGAGCTCCCCCTAAACATCTCAGGGAGGCTTTCAAGGAGCTTGTGTCCTTTCCAGGGAAGCTGAGATACCCTGTGCTCCCCTATAATTCGAACCCTGGACCTCACTAGTTCTCAGCAGAGAGGGAACGAGAGTCAGTATATGCAGGTTGCTTTGTTGTGTCCATCACTATTATGAGATTTGTCTTGGGACACCTGCAAGTTTGAGAGACTGTAACTTAGGTCACCTTCTGCTGTCTTTCACTCTGAGATTTAGGGCTTTTCAGCCGGAAATAAATAAAACATGTTGTGTAAGTAACCCCCGTGGGCATCCCTCGGTCCACTCTACCTACAATCCGTTACACGCTGTCATTGGAGGATGGCTTGGGAAGTGCAGGACATACAGAATGCCAATCCGTAACCTGGCACATGCTCATGCATACCCTATCAGAAACGGGCAGCCATCAGAAATGAAACGCTTCTGGACTGCACGGAAACAGAACAATCATATTTTATTCCAGTGTTTCTCAAACCCTCAGGGACACCCAGACAGCCCATGTTTTTGCCCCCCCCCCAGACAGCCCACATTTTGGGTGCCACGTGGGCTTTGACTGGCACTGGCCATAGTGGAGCAGCTGGGGTTAAAGGTCTTCAAAGGCCACAGTCTGCTGGTCATGGGTTTCAAACCTGCAGCCTTCTGTTCGTGGGATTAGCATCCTAACCTGCAGAACCACACACTGGTCCACATACCAATAAGGACCACACCCAAACAGGTGGGGTGAGATTTGAACTCACATCCTCAGAGGTGTGAGATAACAGTGTCCTCTTTTTTCCTTAAAAATGGTTAAAATTTTGTCTCTTTATTTTTCAGGTTATATATCTTGCTATACGCTATAGCAGAACCCAGGTATGTAGCCTCATAGGAAAATTAGGTAGGTTTGCTTCTCCCTGGGTTGACAAAATCTTCAGAAGATCTATTCGCAGAGCAACTGGACCGCCCCAGAAACTTACTTCTGGCTATGAGCCTGGCAGAGCTCCCTCCTTTGTTTTGGATGTGTTACCCACCAGACCACGTCCTGCACGTGTATGATTAATACGCAGAGCCTGACAATTACATGCAGATGCAGTTACCTGAGGTGTTATTGGCCTGAACTGGTTATAACAGTAGAGGTTCAAGTCCCTTCTGTCAGGGTCACAGCTGAAGTGCAGAGCTTCATTGCCGTAGACAGCAAAACCCAGGACGCCGCGAAAGAACATGCGCACAGAACCATAGAACAGCGTGTGGAACTGGCCAATCACCGTCGGAGGCCTGAGCTAAAGAGCAGAAAAAAGGAGAAAAATTAAAACAGAAGCCCTGGCAAAAACAGAACATACTTTGTTAAGTTACGCAACATATTATTACGATACTTGTATTAATTTGCTTCATGGCCCCCATCTTGCATGGCTATGAAGAGCAGCCACCTGTTGCAGTGTCCAGGGAGCTGGGTCAAGGGCCTTACTCAAGGACCCACAGATGTGCTGAAGCTGGGCTTGAAGCAGAGACCTTCCAATCACACTCACAGAGGCTTAGCCCACTGAGCCATGCACACACTGCCCCCATACTGTGTCAACATTAAAAGTAAATTACTAATATAAACATGGTTCCATTGTTACCTGGGTAACAGGCAATTAAAATCATACCTGTGACATTTTCAGTGAACTCTGCTGTACCACGATGGAACAATTACAAATCAATGATTAATAAATCAAAGCAGCCCTTCAGGGCATTAGAAATATTTTGGCAACAAGCTTCCTATTAAACTTTAAATAACTTCTGCATTCATACAAGCAAATATCTAAATGATATTATTTTCTTCACATGCAAAATATTACAACTCTTCACCGGGCGCCTGAGCCAGTAAGTTAATTTATCAGCATAAATCGTAAACACTATATGCCTCTAACAGGCACTCAAGAGATTTGTTAGATGCAAATCGCTTACTTACACATCCTTCATAAAAGTTCTTGATGTAGTTCAAAGACATGGCTTGGCTACGCTTCTCTCAGTTCAGTTATATCGTATTGTATACCCCTCATTGCCCATCCGCGCTCATCTGACACAGCGGAGCTATAATTCTGCAGCTGGTAATGGGCTTTCGCTGTTTGAAAGTCAATGTCCGTGCACATTTCCCCTTTATCTGGGGTGCCATCATCATTTTAGGACAAAAAAGACGACAAAACTAGTTGCGCACCACGTGGTCTGGCCGTAATCCCCGGTAAACCCCGTCAGCGAAAAACCGACACAATGAAGTAAGAACTCACGCCATAAACTACTATGCAACTGCTCGTAGGAGTAGAGGCTATTAAAAAGCTACCTATATCGACAGGAAAAATGGCAAAGTAGTAAATGTACATTTAAATGTAACATGATTTTAACACGATGTTTACAGGATGTATGTCTGTATACAGTAATGTGCAAAAGTCTTAGGCAGTCAAAAGAAAAGTTTAAAGCTATTTATCTATAGGTAGTATGTGCACTTTTGCTCCGAATAAAAAAAACACAATTTAGCATAAGAACATATGCAAATGAAGAATAACAATAAAAACTAATATTTTTTCTTGTTCTCCAAAAAGTTACTGGCGTTTAGTTGGATGGCACTGTATCAGTTCCCAAACCTCTCTTCAGGGGACGCCCCAGCCATTCCATGTGCTTATTAAATTCAATACCGGCTCGCTTATTTAATTTAATTAGTTAAAAAAAAGAGTCAGATATTGATTAGCTATACGGGATGTGCTAGCGGTCAGGTCAAAAAAATACAACGGTGTGTGGATCATTGTCTTCAAATAATGGGATGCTTTTAGCAGAGGTTTTGAAATGGCTAAGCTGACACGCTTTGACAAGCATAATATCATAGTTTTACACCAATCTAAATATCATTTAAACATCATTTTCCCTGGCTGCGTAAGACTTTTGCACAGTAATGTTTGTATTTACAGCACCCTGAGGTAGCCTGCTGGTGGCAGTGTTATCTATCCGATTACAATATCTTGAGACCCGTCGCCATGTTGAAGTGTGTCTCAAAGCAGCAAGGGCTAAGGGGGAGTGTTCCAGTCAGTAATGATGGATGGTGTATTGTCATATAAATGTAAGAACACAATGGCTTATTAAAATACAACTTTGTATTAATACTACTAAATGTTAACACACTCATATGTTAAGAATATGTTTTTTTTTAAAGACAGTTCATTTTCACGAGCTGAAATATAATAATGCCTATTCACTATAACGTACATGAAAATTACTTTATATATGGTGTCCACGGGTGGTTTGCTATTCTCCGCGGTTTCGGTCACGGGTGGGGAGGGGGGGACGACTACTGTGTGTTACATAAAATGAACTCAAAACGTGCACAAACTTAAAATTGTTCAGTGTGATAGGACCATGTAACCGTCATCTTCTCGCAGCGGATAAACGTCTTGGTGTTCTTAATGCAGTGGAACCCACTTATAGGGATCACGGTTATAGTGATCTACTGCTCATATGTATCAAAAAGCCTGGGACAGAATTATTGCTATTCAAAATACTGTTTAAATAATTCGCTTATAGTAATAACACAGTCCGCTTACAGTGTTCATTTCGGGTTATTTGGTTAATTTTTTAAATATATAACAACATAAGGGAAAATTAAACTACTGTAATTCTTTTTAAATTATTTTTTATTTTTATTTACTTAACTTTGATAACCCTACTGTGCCTTGGGGTAACCCGTCTGTTTCTGGTTAGCTACTTAAACAGCGACGCTGTCCGTTTTATTACTCATGTAATAAATATACAAATGTCATTTAGATGGTAATGAGACATAAAGAAAAAGAAAAAATGGTTATAATGATTATCCCCTTATATAGTGACCAATTTCACTTACGCAGATGTGATCATTAAAAGCATGATCAGTTTTTAATGTCCCATGTAGAAAGAATGCCTCAAATTTCCTCCGCTGAAAATCAAATGTAGAAAATTGCAGTGCATGCAAAAACTTTTGACTGTTAGTGCATGTACTTTTAATGTATCCGGTCATTGGCAATGCATCCAGATGTACAGTATATTGCATCGGTCTCAGGGATGGAGATGCACGTCCCTAACCCATACACCCCACGACAGCCGTGCCACACGGTGCTGCTTCCCCCACAGCAAACGCTGGTGACACATTGGTGCAAACCAATGCAGAATCACTAAAGAGGCTTCTGTTCAATGCAGAGCAGAGGAGAGCAACACTACATGCAAAAAAAATCTGATCAAACACTTCAATACCATTTAGGATGTAAGCCACCAATTCCAGCTGGAAAGATCGAAGAGGCGACTCACAGCTACACAACACAGCCAAACCAAACAGCAAAAATGCACCACAATCAAACAAACCACAAGAAACGGTGGCTGGCCTGGTTCCTTCACAAACAGACAGCACCCATCAATTGCCAGTCCAAACTATTTAGCTAACATTTAAAAGCAAAATATGGATAAACACACACAGACACACGCTTTACAGGAGTGCACAATTGCCGAATCACGATGAAACGGCTCTGGTTGATATTCAGTGGGTCTGTACAGCAGCATGGCAGCACATCAATGGTTGCAGCCCACTGACGGCCAATGTGGAACGCAAACTCATCCTAAGAAATAAAGAGATAATATGTATAATACAGACGCTAACATCCTGCCGCTCTGAAAAACAATTTTGCTATTAGCTTGCATACCTGTGTAAGCACAGAGCAAAACATACAGCAACCTCTGAAGCGATCACTGAGCACCAGCTCCATCCGTTACCTACATACCTCAACACACCTGCCCCTCATCAATAATCAAGTATCCTTTCCTAGATCCCAGCGTTGGCTAACTGCAGGGTGGCTCCAGCTTCTTAACAAATAGAATTGACTTGTCGGGCTACTTTAATATGATCCACCTTGTACATAAATACTAGTAACCGAATCGTTATTAGTTTAAGTCTTAATGGTACCATGGGCGTAAATTACGGGGGGGATGGGGGGGTTGTGCCCCCCCCCCCCCCCCCCACACACACACACACACACACACACAAAACCAGCTAATACAACCCCCCCAATAATCATGTTTCGCCCCGTAATGGGTGGAGACCTCAACCCCCCCAATGTTCCAGCCAAAAGTTACGCCCTTGAATGGTACTGCGCCATGAATGCTTCAGTAGCATCTGAAATGCAGCTGAAAAATGAAGATAATATATCATGGAAACAGGGTTGCTTTTTGTAGGCTTAAGTCAAAGAGTGCTGAATCTATATAGGTAGAAATGTCCCAGCTGTCATGACAGAACACTTAGAACTGAGGATCTGATACAAAGGGTTTTATTAGAGGACTCAACAACCAGAAACAGAATCGATACACAGATATTGTTGTCCAGGGGGCATGAGAGAAGAAGTCCAAATCGGGGGAAGTCAGTCCTCCAATACATGACACAAGAGGATAAATACACTTGAAAATTCAGAGGGCAACTGAGGACGTGGGAGCAAGGATCAGGATCAGGATCAGGATCAGGATCAGGATCAGAATCAGGATCAGAATCAGGGTAAGGATCAGAATCAGGATCAGGATCAGGATCAGGGTCAGGGCAGGCAGGCTGGGCAGCGAGAAAGACAGAGGTGTAATGCTCAGTAAGTTTCATGGAAGCAGTACTTCTCACTGAGGATCCGGACAGTTGGGTTTATAAGCCCACAGAAACAGATGCAGTGAATTAAGCTGATGGGCAATTAACAAGCCAGCTGTACGAGGTTTGGAAAAAACTTCAAACGCTGCCCCCTACCAACCTGGATTATGTCTCCCATCGGTTCACACACCGTAAAATAATCATTTTTTTGGTGTCATGCCCCATGTGCAAATGCAGGATCAGCAATCACCCTGATTACCAACACCTACTCACCTCCTTACTTAAACTTACATGCCCTCAAGGCATCGTTTACTCATGCAACATAGTGAGTGGTTCTCTCTTATTTCTCTTGTGTTACGCTGATCAGACCGACCTTCTCCGATCCAGTCCTGCCAAATCCCTGCTACCCACAGACACCCCAGGTGTACTTGCCTTTCATTTGTCGTGTCTTCGGAGGACTGATTCCCCCAGCTAACAACTTCTCTGGCTCTGTAACCACAACCACAATAACCTGTTCGCCGATTCCATGGCTGTCTGCATTGGTTCCTGATAAATCTCCTATGTTCTGTATTTGGGTTCCTGAGTCTCTGTTCGTGGCAGTTGGGTTTGAACCCTAATGGTTTGAATTCTACTAAGCACTACTGACTTGCTAAGCCCGAGCCCCTTGGTGGACATCTATATCACCTAATGGGTAGACAGGAATTGCTCTGACAAGAATAAGTCAAACTATACCATATACTGTACGGTTTGTTGTGTTTACCAGCAGATGTCACCAAATAAACAGAGTGGAAGCATATATTATTATTATAACATTTTTATATGTTTGGTTACACGAAGATCAAAATCTGAGAGAAGGAAATCACCGTTTGAAATCAAATTGCGGTAGCATAAGCATATCATATAGTTCGCTTCAAATCTTCCGTACCGTCACCTTAGTTTGTTCAAAACTCACTTATTTCTAATCCAGCACTGAATGCAATTCAGAGTTCAGTTCCAGCCGAACCCAACGCCATTCGAGCGATCACGTCACAGCCCGAAACCATAAAGAATTAAATCGTGATAACAGGAGTATAATACTAATCGAAGGAAAACTATAAATACTGCCTTTCTAATGCAATTATCACTATAATAACTGTTTTCCTTTCGAAATAGGACGGTTAAATTTGCGGATAAGGTGTAATATTTTTACAAGCTTCAGTTACAGCCCTTTACCAGAAATAAATTACAGGCAACAAGTTGTCTGTAGAAATCCAGCTTAGTTTATCCCGGGGTATTTTAAAGTTGAAATAAAACCTAACGCGATGCAATATTTTTACTGAAGCTTTACGTTTTAACAAGGGTGTGATACAACCGTTTTCTCAGTGATCCACCACAAGAACAGAGGCATATGATGGTTTGTAATCATGCATTGTCTTGATTCTTCATATATCTACTGTAAACGTATAATCGCTTTAAGTAAATCGCAGAAAGAGTAATCTTGTCATTTAAAAAACGTCCCATTTCACTTCCCTTCTCCCTTATTCCACACATGCTGCCCGTCCCTGTCGTGCTTATGGATTTCCTTCTCTACTCGCATTTTTCTTCTCATAATCGGGATTTAAAGTGAGGAGAAAGAGGTGGAAAACAAAGTAAATTTGCCGAAGAGCGCACACGGATCGCATGTGACGATCAAGAAACAGCAGTTAAAATATGTAGGGGAGTTAAAATAAAGTCATTTTATATCCCTAAGGAATAATATAACTTATATGACATATTTTAAGTCACTGGCGGGTTTTTTTGCACTCAATATTGTACTTGCAGTACTATTGCCGCCCAGTAAGATCCAGAATAGAGGCAGCTAAGGCAATTTAACGAAAAACACGCGTGGATCCCTCGCTCTTTCCTTACGGTGTCCCTGCTGAAGAGACGGGGGTTGGTCTTGAATTTCAGCACTTTTTGCAAAGGACAGCTCCAGCTCCTTCATACCGATGCAGATACAGGAGAGAGTGCCACGGCGTTTAAATAGGCTACCTTAAAACGACACCCACATGATTCAAGATTATTACTCTAAAAAGTGCTTTTCCAACATATTCATTTAACAAAAATAAGAGGAAAAAAACAACAACATTCGCATAGCCATGGAGGAGCTTCTTAAGAGCTTATCATCTGTGTCATTAAATTCGTCTGTTTTTCCAAACTTTACCGAGGACGCTGCTCCCGAAGAGAGAGAAATTATTGAATTTGTCATTCGATGCGTAATACCGTCTATGTACATTATCATCATTTCGGTGGGATTACTGGGAAACATCACTCTGGTGAAGATATTCATCACCAATAGTGCAATGAGGAGTGTGCCCAATATTTTCATCTCAAGTCTCGCAGCCGGGGACCTTTTGCTGCTGGTTACTTGCGTGCCCGTGGACGCATTTAGGTACTTTGTGGAGGAGTGGATCTTCGGGACGGTCGCCTGTAAGCTGATTCCCGTCATCCAGTTAACTTCAGTCGGAGTCTCCGTGTTCACTCTCACCGCGCTCAGTGCCGACAGGTAAGGTATATACGGGAAGCACCGTTTCCTGTAACTACCTTAAAATCAATGGGTGTTGTTTCTTCTGTGCATGGATAAAGCTAGGTGCATTTAAAGCACAAGTAGTCTTGGTAACATAATAAAGCATTTTTTTTTCACCACTCTATCATATTGAAGTCTCATCATTTTCAACAGCAGACAAAATTACAAATAGGCCTAAAACAGATAGCTAAATGTCATTGTTCTGTTGCCATTTTTTGGAGATTCTTTTTTTTTTTGACAAAGAATGTTCCTTGGCACCTTTCAGCTATTTAGATATGCGTTTATTTTTCCTGACTATATATTTGCACCTTTCATTCATTGCCCATTGCTACTCACAAATTGTAATTTTGCATATTGTGATTTTATGGTATTCATGCAATTAAGTACCAAGGGCTTTAAACTCCATTTCTACATCAGTACAGACTTCTGTCATGTTAGGATACTGCGGCCGCTATGACATGAAGAGCCGGAGCACATTGACTTTGAATGACGTCACATACACATAGGTCTTTAACAACGATAAAACGCTATTACTTAAACACGTAACAATGTAATATTTTCTATCGACACCTGTTGGTTACCTCAAACTGTAAGACAGACCTACCCTATTAGAGAAGGTAACCTAAGCTGATCTCTTTTTAGTGGCCAAAAGTGGATTTTTCCATTTAGAATCAAAAGTTAAAGTGAAATTTACTAATTTATGCGTCAAGGTATGTGAAAAATATAGTTAAAAAAATCACATAACACGACCGATTTTGTAAATATTGATTTTTTTTTAGTTCAGTTTGTATTCATTCTAAAGTTCAGCTCAGATTGATTTTAAGTTTAATTATATCGGGTGTAGCGTGAGACTGCTCAGCCACAGGTCCCGAACCGAGCTCCGTCACAAATTAAGCTCTGTATATAACATGTCAAATAGATAATACATTTTAATGCACTATAACTATGAAAAATGTTGTGTTTATCTTAGGAAAAGAACATATTTTATTCATGAATTCCCAGTACCAAACAGTTTAGAATGTTTAAAAATATTGGCTATTTGGTAGTGCAAACGAAATAAGAAATAAACAAAGAAAAGGGTAGATTACTTGGTGTCCCAGATGAGCATGTTAGTGACAGCCCTGTAAGGAGAGAGCGCTTATGAAGTAGATTGTGTTGTGATTGCCTTGCCACTCCTAAGCTTGTCCCGCTTATCTCTATCGATCATAGCAGCTGCAAGCGTGACATGAAAGATGTCCGCATCTTGGATGACTAGCGCAAATGCGACCTCAGCAGCAGAAAAGTCGCACATCGCAGATCGACTGCGCTGCTTTTCCCAGACTCTCACTCTCGTTTTCACGCCTGAAAAACGGCGCTCGCAGTGGCCAGTGTGGCACATCGCTGTTCCCTTCTTACAAAGGGTAATTGGAGGTTAATGAAGTTCTTCCACATTCGTTTTCCTGCAAATTAATTTATCAACAGTAAGAAAAATGACAGGGAATAACAGATAAAAACACTGCTTTTACTGATCCCACGCGGAAATTTTTCAGTCTCTAGTGTTTTATGAAAGGTAAATCTACTGAAGTCATACTTGCATTGGACTGAAAGCGGAGTGCTCAGCACCTTTCTGGCATAGCAGATATCATGTGTGAGAAACTAAAGCTTCGATCCATGACTCAAAATGGTCTGAAATGAGTCAAATAAAAGGATTCAGACTGAAATATCTCCAGGAGATCCTCCATCCTTCTCCCACTTCCCTAACTCGGAATTTAATGTGTATTTGATTGCCTTTACCTGATAGTGGGACGAATAATGAACCCGGCTATGCATGAAGCCATCCACACTTCTGCCATTTTCAATCCTGTTACTACGAAGTCGATTGGGCAAAGATTCACCACAAGGGTGAATTGCTTGGCCCCTGTCCAATTTTCCCTCCGCTAGCTTGTCGGAGCACGTAATTGTGCTCTGAGAGAGCCTGAAAATAGGAAATTTGTATTCTGACCCTTGCAACTGTCCTAAGCATTTAATCTGATTAGCGCTCACTTGCTCACTCCTCGCCAGCATAAAACACAATCAAGTGAAAGGACGCATGATGATTTATTTATTTGGAAAGTTGCTCTTGTTTACCGAATTGTGGTTTCCTGCTATGCTTGTATCCTGAGCTTAGCAATCGATGGCTCTCAGAAACAATGACACAGCTGAAAGGGAAGCAGCAGGTGACAGAAACTTGATGATACATGTCAACACAGCCCTCCAACTGAAATACGAGTAGCTTTGAAAAGTACCTATGCTAACATCGGGTGGTGTTTGGCTCTGTGGGTTAGGACTCTGTGCCTGTGATCAGAAGGTCACTGGTTTAAATCTCACGGTTGACAGAATGATTTTATCATTGGGTGGTTGAACAAGGCCCTTCACCTCAATCAGTCCAGGGTGGGTGGGCCTGCTTTCTTAATCGTACGTTGCTTTAGATGAAGGTGGCTAAATAAATACATGAAAAGATATGTGATCTCTTAGAACATTTTTGAATTTTTATCCTTGACAAAAATCTACACTACCAGTTAAAAGTTTTTGCACACCACAGGTTTTTATCACTTTTCCATTTATTTCATAAACTGCAGATATTTTATTCTTGTTAAGCATTGGAAAGTTGAGTAAACAACTATGAATGAAAGTATAAGTCAAGTAACACAAGTTTCTTTGTAAAGAGTATGTAAAGAGTATGTAACATTGCATATCTGACATCCTATTAACTGGTTGTGTGATGATGGCAGAGTCAAATTCTAGGCTATCCTATAACTTTAAATGCACCAGTTAACTGTTTCATCCAATGAAACAGAGCAGTATTTAATGTCCCTTGTAGAAAGAATTCCGCAACATTTCTCTACTGTTATAACTGCTAGAGGAGGTTGATGAATCAAAGATATTTCATTATCTTGCTAATAAAAGTACTCAAATGGTGAACATACAGTACTGTAAATTTATTAGTTAGAAAAGAATATCAAGTGTATTTTTAGTAAAGCTTAAGTGAGCAACATGAAAATGTAGAAAATCTCAGTGTGGGGAAAAATGTTTGACTGCTAGTGCATATCCAGGCAGGGACGTTAGTGCTACATGTTTAGTACTCAGTGACTTAAACGTGGTGTTAGAGGGGGGGCTGGAGCTGCTCTTCTCAATGTAAACATAGCCCCAGTGCAACAAGAAGAACAGATTGCAGAGCCTTGTCTGCCAAACTAGATGTTAAGATGAGGTCCAAATTGTTTGCCATCATTAAAGATGTTACGGCACTTACCAGAAGATTAGAAGTGTTAACCTTGATGTCCTGACTACACACCCACTCAGATAACAAAGGCTGTCTTTTCTTCTCCCAGTAAAGTAATTATCACCTAAGGAGCTGATATGTGCTGAGGTTTTCTGGCATGAAATGGCTGGTTCACATCACCCAGCTACTAACTACTTGTATGAATTCCATTCCTTGGCAAATATATGCAATACATTGGCAGTTCTCATAATACTATTTAAGCTTACATTACCTTACCTTATTGGTCAATAGGTATTTTTATATATACTTCCACTTCAAACATTTGCATTGGCTTCTCCATACTTTCTCTAAAATGTTTTTTCAGTGTTTTCATTTTCCTTGGATCTTTTATTTTTCCGATAGGCCTGTGTTCCTGTAATAAAGCCCAGGTTATTGCATGGAAAATGGCTTCAGGTGACATTCGAGGGACTGATTATGGCGTTGCAGGTGACAGAAGGGACTGTAGCATGTGCTCAAGTGCGTATTCTGCACTCTTCCGCTGTTTGGCCCAGGATGTCACACCTGTCCGCTATGAGCTGGAGTGCCCTTGATATGATTGCACATCTGCTTTACCTGCTGCAAAGCACATTCCAATCTCTTTGCATGTTAATGGATGAGGTTGCTTGCAAAACACCATTACTGTCCAGGGAGGCATTCCTCTTCAGTTACGCTGACCTCATGATATACCTGAATCCCTCATTAAAGCCTTTCTGTTTCCAGTGCTACTGTGGCCTCAGGCTAAAAAGACAATACTATTGAAAAAAGAGCATCTGTTCAATTTCCATAATAGTACTGGGTTACAGTGAGCCATAAGGTAAACACCTAGACAGGATGCAGGCAAACACCATATTAGCTCTTAAGAGACACCAGTCCACCTGTTCACATGTTTTTGGACTGTGGGTGAACAACAACATGGGGAGAACAGGAGAACTCAGCACACAAGAAAGAACCTGGAATGGGGAGCAAATAACCTTGGAGTAACATGAGTGCCTGAAAAGAGTTAGACACGAAAAATTGACTTCATTAATAAATAATGGAATAATCAGTGCTTTATCGATTAGAAAAAAATATTATTCTGTGGTTTAGATGATATATTGTAGTGGTTTGAGAGATGAAGGACTGAAGGACAGGTGTTGAATGAAATGGGCTCTATTAAAGGCAAATTAAACTGGGAATGGGAAACAAACATGACTGCGAGGAATCAAAAACAGTAAGACTGGTACTGGGAAGGGCACAGGGAACCGGAAGGTAGACTGGGGACGACGAGACAAACAGGCGTAGCTTACCGGGGTCACGCTAGGGAGGAGACGGAAGGGACGGGCGGATGTGGTGGGCAGGACGTAACATGTATCTTCTAAAGAAGTGGAAAAACCTTCTCTTTTTGATTTCAAATTCTTTCTGAACCACTACAAAGAAAGTAAAAATGTCTGTTTGTTGACTAGCATATTGGTCTGTTTCATGCTTTTAGCAGTTAGGACGAAATAACAAGGTAACAATTGACAAAGAAAGCATCTGTTCTCTTGTTGTCTGATAGGTACAAAGCCATAGTGAACCCCATGGACATCCAGAGCTCGAGTGCTGTCTTCTGGACCTGTTTGAAAGCCGTGTCCATATGGTTTGTCTCCGTGCTGCTGGCTATCCCTGAGGCCATCTTCTCCCAAGTCGTCCACATCCAGGACAAGAATGTCACCTTCACGGCCTGTGTGCCCTATCCTCTGTCCAACGAGATGCACCCAAAGATCCATTCCATCATGATATTCCTGGTCTACTTCCTCATCCCCCTGGGCATCATATCCATCTACTACTACCACATTGCTAAGACGCTAATCCGGAGCGCTCACGACATGCCGGGAGAAGTCAGCGAACATACCAAAAAACAGGTGCGTTCACGTTCTGCTTTCGTCATCCAATGAATTGGCACCTACTGACACCCACTTCATAATGAACCCATGTCTAGCTGAAGGATGTTGGGTGGGGCCGCAGCTTTCTGTGGCTGCTGGAGGTGGGCTTTGGATATAAGGTTAAAAAAATCTTACAAAATATTGCCACGCCTACTTCTTGGGAAAAAAATAATGTGATTAACTGGCATTTTCCCAGGCCAGGGGGGGGGGGGCAAGCTCATTATCTGGGGGGGGGGGGGGGGGGGGGGGGTTGTAAGTGTGGTGAATGAGAAGAGTTCAGCGTTCTGCCGGTAGACGATTCAGGAGGTTAACAGCTTGAGGGAAGAAGCTGTTCCTGAGCCTGAAAGTACAGGCACAGACTTCTGTAGCGCTTCCCAGAGGGCGGGAGGGAGAACAGACCGTGGTTGGGGTGGGTGGGGCCTCTGCTGATGCTGAGACCTCCATGAAGACTCTGTTTCTGATAGATGTCTTAGGTGCAGAGGGAGCTGGGTACCGATGGTGTGTTGGGTCGACCTGACGACCCTCTGCAGGCTCCGTACCACACTGAGATGCGGCTGCTTAGGATGCTTTCAGTAGTGCAGCAGTAGAAGGTGGAGAAGACTGCTCAGGAAATGCAGGCGTCGTTGTGCTTTTTTCATGAGGAAGTGTGTGTTCTTCATGCAGGTCCACGCTGATGTGTACTCCAAGAAATGTAAAGCTGGGTACACAATCCACTTCGACCCTGTTGGTATATATGATATCATGTATCTTTTCAATGTTTTCATCAGTTGTTTATTTCCTTTTACCCACAAGCCCCAACATAAACATGCCAGAGAAACGAATTTGCTAAAATTAAAACTCCCTTAATCACTTTACACAAAGCCTCTTAACACAAAGCCAGCTAATATCAGTTCAGTCTCACAGAGCTTATATCCCAGAAGGTACAGGGATCAAGGTAGGACAGGCCTCTGGCACGTCTCAGGACGCACACAATTAAGCACCGCGAGACATTTCACAAGCTTCACAAACTGTCACGGCTGTGAAACGACTGTTTCGCCTGTTAGTGCTTTATTTCAACACCACAGCAAAGGGTACACTTCTCTCACTGTTTAAATAGGGTTAGAAAGAGGACTGAAACTCTTCATTTGATTAATTCTAATTTACCTTGTAATAACCTGCTCATTTGCTTTAATTTTCTTGCAATCAGAACCACTATTTGCTGTAGTCTCCTGGGTTCTCTTTGAATACAGATTGGAATTAATTAGGTCTTCCCTGTGTTCTGGTAAGAGGACTTGCAGTAAGGCATTTTCTCCGTTCAGTATCCCGCTGATCCTTACCATTAAAAGGCAAATGCAGTGTTTGTTATTTTTTATGACATATTGCATTTTATGACTTCAAGAAAAAGAAATTTATAAATGCGCCAAAGTGTATTTTTTTTTGTTATTTAGGAGAAAAAATAAAACATAGCTGTATATTTTATAATATGCAAATGATTAGAATTAATGAAACAGAATTATTATTTTTTTATTCTTTTGGGGATTTAATAACATTTCGCTTACAGAATTAGAGGCGACATTCAGCGGAATGCATGGATAAGTGGTTTAAAAGCAGTTGTGTGCTTTGCCTTCTCTGGCAAAACCTCCAAACATTCACACCTGCCTCTTCCCTCTTATTAGTGCCATTACTGACATCGTTAATGACGACTTTAAGCAGTGCTTGATGGGGGCTTATCTCCGCTGCACAGACACCTGACATCCCCATCCTAACCACACAAACTCAGGCAACAAAAACAAGAAAAAGAGGTTATAACCAAGGAATCCCATATCCCCGAATTTAAAAGCGTCTGCATTTTTTTGCATATGAGGCCATTTTTATCTTCAAGTATTTAATTGTAAATTTCTAGTCACTCTGAAAGACTATATCAAGTTTCAAATTTTTACGATCATTTATCAAAATTGAAAAATGCAATGAAATACATTCATATCTTTTCTTAACAGTGACACCTCAGTGTGGGCCAGACTCAGTCTTCAGTCTAGAAGTGTTAAACAAATCATTTGATATTCTGTGGTTCAATGCCGATCACCCGGGGCACCAATAGGCCTATTTTAGGGGGGCTTAAAATGTTTATCAGCCCCCCGCCCCCAAATAAATGTGTATTTATTGGCTTAAGCCATGAATAGTTTGCCCCCCCTAGTAAAGACTCAGCCCCCAATCCATTCATCTCTAACTATGCCCCTGCTGATTACTTCGTGTTTTTTATTCCCACTTTACATATTACAGTTTTTCACATAATACCATTTTGTTTCATTCAGGGATAATTGGGGTGAGCCTTATACCTTATTATGCAGCAGTAATTCCAGGCTTGATGTATACTGCTTAATGAACTTAGCTTGGTCTTGTTGTTTTTCTGTTAGTCGGAGTGCGGTCTCTGAACCCCTGGTTTCCAGTTTTGTGATTCTGATTCTGCACAGTAGTTGTTCGGCTTTCTACTACTTATGTCTTGGATCCCGTGTCCTGGTTCTCATGCCCTGGTTGCATGTATCCACACACCGGCACACCTCATGCTGTAGCCGCTCGTATGAATCACACGAGCTATGAACCACATGCGGTATCGACCTACTAATACGTCGTGGTCTTATTCAGCATATCATCATGAAGGCCACTTCTGAGGTCCAGGACCGGATCTAGGCTTAGGTTGCTGCCTAGGGCCCAATCAGAGATATCTACCAAGGGGATCCTTCGGTAAATTTAATTCCAGCTGCAAGCCTGCCTAGGGCCCCCTGCAAAAGGGAGACCCGGCCTTCTTGGGGTGTCAGCGCCTATGCGACTTACTGACAGGGACCCATGGACAGTGGTCGCCAGGTGAAAAATAACAACTTGTCTTCTGGCCAGCCGGGCAGAACACGACCGCGAGACTTGGCACAGCAAGAGACGCCTGATTGCACCAGCTACAGCACCCGCCTGCCACCTGCACTTAAAAGTTTACAACTTAAAGTTTAAAATCTAGTTTAAAGTTTAAACTCTAAAGTTTAAAACTTAGTTTAAAGTCTAAAGTTTAAAACTGCTCTCTCTGCAGTACCAGGGTCAAACAGGATTCCGCTGCCTAGCTCACTGGCTGTAGCGACCAACCAGCCCTCTTGTCGCTGTGGACAATCTGCAGTTGTTGTCATCCTTTTTCCCGCAGATGACACACCTGCTCTTTATCTCTCTTTGGCCACTTCCCTTCCGCTCTAGTTGAACCTGTCACTGAGACAGGATACCAGCAGCTGTGTCCTGCCCTCTGGGACTGTCACTACCTAATTGGAGCCCATCCTCAACTGAATTCACCCTCCTTTCCCGGCACCCTCTCCATACTCCCCTTGTCACCCCAGCTGTGTCAAATAAAATTTGCCTGTGAGGCCACCAATGCCTGTTTGCATTTATGGTCACACCCCATTGAAATATCTACATGAATTGTGTTCCAGAATGTGATGACACTAGCACATAATCAATATTCCCTCAATGCTGTGGGTTAAACTTCAGAACTGTCTGCTTTTGATAAGAACACATTCAGAGGTGCAGACACTTTAAAAGAGTCATTTAAAAGACATCCAACATCCAACATTTATTCTGCACTCTACCATATATATATATATTTTTTAGAAATCCTGCACTGTAAAATATCACGGCAAACATGTTTTTATTCCTGGTTAAGAAAAAGATATATATGTTAATTATCCAATTCTGAAAATCAAAGGGACATTTTCAGGGGTATTTGAACATTCAGCAATAAATGATGAATAATGATTTTCATAGTTTCTAATATCGTTGCTGTTTTATGAATGCTTCCATCATGATAACAGCATTTCCAATAAAAAATAGACTTCATGTAATATCTAGGTAATATTACACAATAAATAACCTAAACCGTAAGACAGCATGACAATCAATCTGATATCAAATTAAACCTTGTCATGTTCAATTGTTAATGAACATCAAACCTCTGTTTAATTTTTAAAATCAAATTTTCCCTTTTTTGTGATTAAACTGGCTGTGTGGACATGACTGTAGATTCGCTCCTCCAGGGTCACAGGTTCGAATCCTGCCCCTCATATGTTTGCATGTTCTCTCTGTGTTACATGTGCTTTCTTGGGGTGTTCTGCCACAGACTGGCATCATGCCCAGGTGGTTTCTCTCGCCCTGGGCTCTGTGCTGCCTCGGTGCCACTTACAAACCTGTATTGGATAAGAAGTTGCAGGATAGAAGAACAAGATGACAGCACCGTTTATTAAAGAGTCAGGATTTGCTGACTGCAGAGTAAGACAAAATAACAGTTCCTAGCAGTAGAGGCTAAGCATGATACAACAGAAAAACATCCCTACATCCACTTTCTGTAACTGTCTGTCCTATTCAGGGTTGTGGGCAGTACAGATCGAGCTTATACCAAAGGCAGGAAATATTCCAGGATGGGGCACCAACCCATTGCAGGTCACACTCACACACTCACACATTCGCACACTCACACTCACACACACTCACACCTGAAGGCAATGTGGCAGCTACAATTCACCTTAACATGTTTTTGAACTGATTTTTAAAAAAATGTATTTTATATATTTCTATTAATTTATTGACAAAAGGTATATAAATGTTTCTGTTGCTAAGTTTATCTATAATATTCATCGCTTGCAGGATAACAAACTTCACACACATGGAGCCAGACACAAAAATCCATCAATCCAACTTGCCAGAATAACTACCATAGGTAGCAGCATGTCACCCATCCCGCAAATGAATTAATGGGCCAATCTCTTCTCGGGTAAAACAAATAAACAATTAAAATGAAGACAATGACTTCTGTTTTGTATTTCAATCATGAAAAATATTTTGTAAACAAACCAAAGAATGGCAATTTAAACCAATGACTGGCAGGTGATTCGACTTGCATTCGACCATTTGACGGCCGTTATCTGTTTAGCTGCTAGCTGTGTAGCCACGAGATGCCAGTCTACAGCATGGGTTGGCCAATCATACGCTAATGCTAATGCTTATGT